GTTATGACTAAGATAGGAAAAAACATTTAATGGCCAGCTGTGGGTGCTGGTTTCAGAAGGACGAAAAAACAAGGTTAAGTGGGTTTTTTTTTCATTCACAATATTCCCTTACCCCACTACTTCTCATTTTTCATTCACTACCGATTCAGAACTAGTGTGGGAACAAGAAATCTAGCATATTTCAGCAATTTTACATATCCACACTCTGCTAAAGAAATGCTTACCTTCAACTCAGGACGGAGCTTACGGGTTTTTTTAGAGGATTTATTAGTATAGACATTTGCAGGTATTTGGAAGGTTTGCATGGAAAGAAAATGGAGCATCATGCTTGGGAAAAAAATAAAAATTAACTGCATGTTTGCAAAGATCAGTATCATCCTTACTTACAGCGTTAACACACTGAATTGAAGTGAAAGATTTCACCTCTCTAAATTAAGTATTGGTCACAGTCCAAACCATACACCATTTTGATGCTGGGCAAACGGTCCAGCTTTTACAAAAAGTTTAGGGCTCTTAAAACAGACCTCACTAAGCACTGTACGGAAACTCCATCTACAGCAAATGCAGAAGTTTGTAACTAGCTCCATATTCATTAATAATAATGATCAACTGGTAGTACCTCTAGAGTATCAACTCTACTCCACTCTGGTAAGACCCCCCTGCAGTGCTGTGTCCAGCTCTGGACATAAGAAGGACATGGACCTGTTGGAGCAGGTCCAGACTAGATCATTGTCATCATGGACTAGATGGCCTTTAAAGGTCCCTTCCAACCCAAACCATTCTATTCTATACAAAGGTAGTGGATAAATCAATGTCAGTCAACATTGGCAAAAAAAAAAAAAAAAAGCACCTAGCAGTTATTCACAGCTTTCATTTACTTATTTCTTTATTCAGTACTTTGTGACAGATATGCTTGTCAAAACAGTTAGGACAGACTGAAAAACAACCTTTTAACGTGGTGACTCATCTGGCTATTAGTCACACAAGAAACTAAACACATATCTGCATAGAGAATAGATTTGGGGTTTTAAATATCAAATCTCACAAACAAATTGTTTGGATAGAGTCTAACCTTTTGACAAGTTTTTGCTGAGTTATGAAAAGAATAAGGTATTGTATTAATAAGCAGTATGTGGCAATATAACATACAGCCCTAAGTTGATGTTCCAACAGTACAATTGCTCAAAGGCAGTGCAAGTCTGTTAACAAAAACTAGTGGATACAATACTGGGTGCCTACTAATGGGACACCTGGCTGCCGCAATCATTACATTTCAATTTCTATTGTGAAACATATTTTAGACTGTCAACGTGATAAAAACATTCACCTTTCAAGCTCAGATTCTTCCTGTGTCTGTCTGCATCCAAAATCAACTTAAGTTGAGCAAGAATAGCTTTACTTTATTCATAGGAGAACCACCTGTTTGTTACAAATAGTTTGAAGATTTTTCTGGAGCACCTGGCAGCTAAATGGCTGAGGACTGAATGTCACAAATACTCAGAGAGCTCCTGAAGAACTGTGGTGTCTCGAGCATGAGGAAATGGTTTTCATTTCTTAAGTTATAAAACCTAGAAATTGAGGAAAAAAAATCTAAATTGTCTGCTAGCCTAGCTGGAGAGTGAAATGACTCATTCCCAGCAGGTTTAGACCATCAATGACAATTTTCCAAATATTTTGGTAAATAATTTCCTATCAGATGTTGCATTCCCAAAAGTAAATCCTTAGCTAAGGTTACATGTAAATGGCCAAAGCACGCATGAAGTCCACTTGCCTACTTTTGATGTAGAGCCTTTACAGTTCTGTCCATGGCAATACCTCTGGCCCTTCCTGGATCAGGAAAAGGCCATTTACAAAAAGGTAACCTCCACAAGAATTGAATATACATCAGCACTGTCATCAAACATTTCTGAAGATAGCACCTACCGTAGAGGATTAAATAAGCGGCATTTAAGAGTTAGCTATTATGTGTTACAAAGCTTGAAAAAAACCACCATCCTTTTCTGTAGTCTAGGCCAGGGCTAGAAGCTCTTACACAAATAACACTGTCAAAGAAAACAAATGTAAAAAATACTCTGGAATTAAGAAACCAGTAACTGGAATGCAACACTGTAGACTGCCATACACAATTTGATTTATAAAAGTAAAACAGTCACATATGATTGTGGAAAGACTAAGTGGACTCAGTTTAAATGTTTTTGTGCCTAGCTATGCTCGCCTGCTGTTTCTGTAGTGCACAGTTGACAACTGTGACAGCTGCAGAAAACTCCCCCTCCCCAACTACCCCTCTGTAATTTAAAGTAATGCATTGCAGTTCATTCTGAGTCAGTGCTAGGATATGAAGTTAGAGAATCTATTAGAAACAACTGACCATTGAACAGAATACTGAATTTCATGCTACTGTACCTAAATCTCTATACAACTGAATTTATTACTGCATATGCAGCTTTAGTACAAAACACAAGGGGAACTGCTACTAGGTTGTTTTGTGGGGTTTTTTTTCTGGCACAAAAATCCTGGATGTTCTTTTACAACTAAGAGATACTGTTAGGCATCAAAGCAACTTCAGGCATCAGTAATAGTTCCTGCAAGTTATCATTAAATACAGACAACAGCATTGGCATTATCAAACAGTAAAGTGTAGAGTAGATTATAAAGTGGTAGTGCCTTCTGCATTTAAACTGGTCTCGATTTCATGTCTGGCCAACTTGTTTCCAAAGCCACAGAACAGGTCTGCTTGTTCATGTGTTAATTCTACTAGAAAAAATCTCTACGGTTCCACGCAATAAAAGCCAAACAGAAAAACAAAAACAAACAAACAAACAAAACAAAAACCAACCAAAAAAACCCCAACCCACCCCACAACAACAACCAACCCAAACCTTGTTGTAAAAGGCAGTGAAACGGGAATGTCGGGGGCACCACGGCCCGGCTGTGGGCAAGCCACGTCCCGCGCCACCGCCCTGGCCAGCCCGGCCCCGGCCC